CTTTTTGACAAAATGCTTAAAAATAAATTATGGGCTGTATCTGCAACTGTATTTGATAAAGTTTTAAACATTTAAAATAACCAGAAGCTGCTTTTCATAATAGTGACTAGAATAACAATAACAACAGCTTTTTGACAAAATGCTTAAAAATAAATTATGGGCTGTATCTGCAACTGTATTTGATAAAGTTTTAAACATTTAATAGAACCAGAAGCTGCTCTTCATATTAGTGACAAACTTTGGCATTTTTTGATGAGTTACTTTCATTTTTGCTTCTATTTTTCATTTAAAATAAGTTTCCATTTTTGGCAGGTTTCTAAGGTTCTTCTTTTACATATTAACAAAGTTGTTATACATCTGAGTGGTGCACTACTGCTACTAGTGGTGAGAAAGTGTATTACACCTTATTCAAAATCAATGCGGTCCCACGGCCCTCTGCGGCCCAAAGTTAAAAACTGTTGTTCTTTTGAGGCCCTCAAGGTGGCTAAGAATCTCTGTAGTAGAGGGGAAGAGTATCTGTTAGGCTGATGTGTCTGAAGGTAGAAGATGTTTAATGTTGTCAGTGGTTCTGCTCCACAGGTTGGATGTGAGGAAGAGGAGAAACTCTGGAAGGACCTAGATGAAGTGATGTTCCCAGGAGGAGAGAGAGGTGATCAGAGCAGACCTGAGTGGACATGTTGGTGAAGGAAAATGAGGAGATTAGGAAGTGATGGACAGGTTTGGTGTCAAGGAAAGGAACCAGGAACCTGAGGGAGATTGGAGACTGTAAGGTTGTAGCAGAGGAGATGAAAGATGGAAGGAGAGCTTTGAGGATGTACTGAATGAAGAGAATGAAAGAGGTAGAAGAGTAGGGGTCATTGAAACTGTGGCACAGGAGGTGAAAAAGATGATGAAGATGAAGTCAGTTGGACCTGATGACACCAGAGTAGGATGTGAAAATGTCCAGGAGACCTGGCATTGAGAAAATCCCTGAGGAATGGATGGAGTTGTAGCAACTATGGGAGAATTAAAGTGCCTGTGACATGCATATTCTTCAAATAAAAAAAGTCAAAGAAAACATCTTTATATTTAAGAAAGTTGGAATAATACACACGATTTAACCCATTTTGTCCCATAACTGGCATATTTTCTTTTGAACTTGGCTCAGCCAAAGTGAAACAGGAAGTGACATCCAAGGGGAACTCTTTAACAAAGAAAACTCTCTGGTCTTTGTTTATTGAAACAATATTATTTGAACTCAGACTCTTCTTCATCTCTCTGATAGAGACTGAAAATAACATCAGATTCTTCTCTACAGTCTGGGTTGTTGGCTGTTGTAACATTGGGCCTCATGCAAGAACCGTTCGTACGCACAGATTTGTTCTTAAGTTGTGCGTACGAGTGATTTAGGAGAATTTGTAGCATTCACCAATGTTTTCGTATTCTAAGATTTTTTTCAGATACGAACAAAATTCACGAGTGGTCCAGACCTGTCGTAT